GTCAACAGACCACTCAGGCTTATCAACACAAAAATATATTTTTTTAACATAAACTATAACAAAATAGACAATTAAAAAAATAGAAATGCTAACTAAAATTTAGTTGTATCTGCAACTGTATTTGAAAATGTTTTGAACTTTTAACATATTATTGCATTGTAAAAACAGAAGCGGCACTTCATATTAGTGACAAACCTTGGTGTTTTTTGATGAGTTACTTTCATTTTTGCTTCTACTTTTCATTTAAAATAGGTTTCCATTCTCGGCAGGTTTCTAAAGTTCTTCTTTTACATATTAAAAAAGTAGTTAAACATTTGAGTGGCGCACTACCGCTACTAGTGGTGAGAAAGTGCATTGCACCTTATTCAAAATCAATGCGGTCCCATGGCTCTCTGTGGCCCAAAGTTAAAAACTGTTGGGTTGTTTTTTTTTTGAGGCCCTCAAGGTGGTGCTCACAGCCGGCCCATATTTTATGAATCTCTGCTTTAAACAATGCTTTCTGAGCTCTTTAATTAAACATTTGGTGTTAAAACTCTGATCTTATAGCAGAAGCTGACCTGTAACCATGATCTCTGTAGTCTTTGGTGGCAGAGTAGACAACAGAACTGGCTTTCACGCTGATTTGCTGAAACAGATTCCACACCTCCTGGTAGATGTATTGCTAAAAGACAAAGAAAATTAGGGGATAGCAGACCACTCAGTAAGCTGTACGTCGGTTTATCCTCTTTAAATGTAGCTTATCATGATCAGGAGCGACAAGCTGACCAAGGGTACCTCATTAAAACCACTGATTTGTCAACTTGAGTGCTGGAACATAGTCTCTGTGCTGAGCAAGTGAGCAACAGCCAGAAAATTTAAAGCAACATCAGTAAATTTGATAAAGGAAAAAGTTACTTTGGTTATATTTGTGCCCAGTTTAAACAAAGTTACTGTTTTATAAGCTAGTTTTAGGGTTAAACTCCCCTCCTGTTCTCCACCAGCCACAACACACCTCTTCTTAAGTGCAGCCTCACTCAGCACTTATGAGAGTTTGAGTCAAATACAACCATTTTAAAGCAGCAGTATGTCATTTCCTGTAAGGAAACCCTGAGTTGCTTGGAAACTAAAGCAGATTCAACAAGCACAGAAACCTGTGATTACCTGTGTAAACACTATCTGCATTTGAAAAATGATGCGAGTGAAGGACTACGCTCCAGTGTGRTGTCATCACTAAGGCTTTGTACTTACGTTTCCTGTAATGACCATACAGCCCAGCTGGTCCACAATGAGCACATCCAGCTGCGACGGAGGCTGGCAGAACTTCTGCTGGAGGATTTGTAAAATGTGCTCCATGACTTTGGGAGTGTCCCTCAAAGCCACTGCGATATGACCCAGCGCTCGGATGTTGTGATCTGGAATCAGATGAGCATCCCTGGCAGAAAGATGAGGTGTATTTTTAAAACACTTCCTCTGAGTCATCTGAACTTGGATTTAATCTGGATGACGGAATGACCTAGTTTTATTTGTTTATTTTTTGTGCTACAAGAAAAGTTGCTCACTTCTCATTCTCCTGTGAAATGTACAGACGGTTGGACAGACTGGCTAAAAAAGCCTCAACAATCACTTGGTCCATCGTCAAACCGGCTTTCAGGCATCTGATAGAGAGGATAAAAATTAAAAACTCTTTCAAAAATCTATTTGACTGTAGTTTTGCTTAGAGTGAGCATATCCCACCTGCAGATGTTGTCAATAGAAATGTCTCTGAGCTGCTCGTACATGGAGGGCTGGTCCCGCTTGTTGGCCAGCACATTGATAGTTGACTGAGAATGCTCGTTTGTCACATTTATCCGGATTTCTCCTGTGCCTTTAAAAAGTGACAATAGAAAACATTACACGAGATTCTGCACAGAATGTGGAAACAGCTGAGTGCAGCTCATGTTGAATATATAAAGTAAACAGTTAATGAACAGACAGTTCCTTCTGGACAAAGAAACAAACGAAATAAAATCAGTAACTTGAATTTCACCCCCACTTGTCTGAATCTGTAGCTCTTCAGATAATTAGTGATGACTCAGATGTGACAGCTAGTAACTCTGTTATTAATCATATCAGCTCTTGTTTGGTTTACCTTCAGCATGAAATGATGCTTAAACCCTTTCAATTTCTACATTTTATCAAATTTTTTCTTATTAAACTTTAAAACCTCATGACTAGTTTGTGATTAAATTATGTCACCATTTTTTAACAGAAGATACATGTTCACCTCAGTTTTTAAATAAACGCTACCAATGTTACATTAGATTTAACACTCTTTTCGGTCAAACTTATAACTATAACTTCTAATACAAACCTGTGCTTAAAACAGTGCCTGAATAATATTTTTTGGATGGTATATTCTGAATTTTAGAACCAAGACATACTCTTTTAATGACAACGGAAGTGTTGCGTCTCAGTTCAGAAGTGGATCTGAAGTAATGAGTTTTGACTGTAAGTACCTGTGCTGTACTGGCTGTGATATTTGTAGAGTTTTATAAGAACTGGGGATGGAACCACCAAAAAATCCCTGAGAGAAGTTGTAGCAGAGTGAGCAACAACTGGAAACCTCTCACAGAGACGACCCAGACCCTGAGACAGAGGAGAGAGAAGCCAAAGAAAAGATGATTATTTAATTATTTAGAAAAAATAATAAGATCTCATTCCATGACTGATGCTTTGTGCAACGCTAAATATTGTTCCTACTGGTGCTTTTGTGCATCCTACCTGTAGGCAACAAATCAGCAGCGGCATGTGAGCAATGATGACTTTACTGGAGGTTTTTGACTGAAGCTTCTCAGACAGTTTTGTGCACAAATTCTCAGCTCCTGACAAAAAAATGAATAAAAAAAAGCAAAAGTGAGACGTGTGGACCAAACAAATGAATCCATGCTAACACACAGCACAGCTCACTTCGACACAACCCTTTACCTTGCTCATCTTTGACGGCCCACACCATGAGGTCCACGCAGGCGGCGTTGGCTTGACAGCGAAGCTTGAGGGGGCTCAGGTCGCCCGTCAGCGTCCCCGTGTCATGCAGCACCCGCTGCAGCTCTGACTGGCTGCTGCTGAACTGCTCCAGGACGAAGTCGTGAACTTCTCGCACAAATGCTGGCTGCACAGCTGAAAAGGAGAGGGAGAGAGTTTGACTGGGGCTGGGCAAAAAAAAAATCGATTTAATCGATCTTGGATCGATTTCATTTGAATTTGGGAAAATCGATTCTTCCCCAACTGCAGGATATGGGCACCAGTGACCCATGCGACCCTGAAAAGGAAGAAGCGTGAACAGAAAATGGATGGATGGATTCTTCCCCACGGCATCTTGTGCGTGCATCTGAAACGCGTTTCTATATTTTGTCACTCCTGGCTTGCCGTATATTTGCCTCCAGATGACGTTCAGTGCTAACATTAGCTCTTAATAACAAGTTGTCTGGAGCAAAACAAAAGAAATTAAGGAATCACTAACGTTATCAGCCGATTCTCAGCAGAACTTAAAGGTAACAGAGACCTTTTATTTGCAAAGACTTGTGCTCCTACGCGGTAACGAAAACGAAGCAGGGTTTGAAAAGCGGCTTGTTAGGTGCTCAAACCAAACAACGGTGTGTAAACATCTGACTGAACTGTTCTCCTCTGCATGTATAAATGTGTGAAAGACGACATTCTAACAAAATTGTTTAGTTTTGTTACCAATATTACTATTTTTAAACTTTAAGAAAAGTCTTGATGAAATTCACAGTGATGAAATGCTGTCTCTGTATTATTATGACCCCCGCATGCGAAGCGTAAGCGGGAGTAATAATGTTTTCGTACTGCTTTGTTTTGTTTTTTTGTTGGTTTTTTTTCAGTGATTTTTGGTCAAACGTAGCACAAAAACGGCTGCATCAATCAACATGAAATTTGGCAGGGCTGTAGATGAGTCTGACCTACACTGCGCCAGCCAACGGTTTTACGATAGACCCCATATTTGAGGAKGGGGCTCCTTTCAAAGAGTGGGGTGTCTGGACATGCAAAAATGCTTATAACTCAGAAACTGTTTAACATAGAAGCCCCAAAAAGGACCCCCACCCAAACCACTACAACTTTGGGATGCATCTAGTAGCATGACATTGTGTGCGGGGGTTATTATGTTACCGCTATGCGGTATCTAGTTTGTTTTACTAAGCTATAAGTAATAAGTTTTAATAAGTTATATTGAACATAACAGAAGCTAACAGAAACATTACAAATATACAGTTTTCATACACTCAAAAGGAGTGGGCAGAAGTATATTTATATTTACATCTCCTCCTGCAAACTTATTCCCATCAGTTCTTATTCATCAAAATATTTATTAATTACTTAAAAATTAATTCCTCCAACAACACTGTCAGCTGCAATTCCTTTTTAATTTAAAACCTTTTAAACTTGTGACAGTTTTCCTTCAAGATTAAACTGTTTAATTTAAATGTTTGTCCTTATGGCGAAGAGAAAAAATAATGATATTGTATTTTGCAACACAGTTGAACCATTTTCATTATTTAAGAGCAGATCGGATCGAACTGAACTGAATCGTGATTAATCGATTGAGAACCTTATGAATCAAAATCGAATCGATCTAAAGAACTGGCCATGATACCCAGCCCACAGTTTTTATACTTGAAAGGTTTCTCTGCTCCAACACACCTGATGAGAATGAATGATTAACAGGCGTATGCAGAACTCGAAGAGGTAATTCATTACTGAGTCAGGGAACAGGAAAACAAGTAAAACATTCATAATGTAGGCATCAAAGATCAGGACCGAACACCCTTGTTTTAATGTAGGATAAAAATGTATACATATATATGCTTTACCTTTCATGTTGTACAGTGTGTCCCGCAGCATTTTGAACACACACACATAGAGGGGGTCGCTGAAGGTTTTGTAATAGAGGCTGACTCCAGGATTAGACTTTACGACAAACAAACAAAAACAGAAAAAAGTCATAAATAGTTCCTTAAATGTTTCATTTCCTATATTTTTGCACAGGCAGCAGTCGTTTATTCACCTCTGTAAGTTCTGTCACTGTGGTGTCCAGAGTTTTCAAAAAGGGGTCGGACACAAAGTTTTTCACCTGTAAATCATGAAGCAGAGATTTTGTTTACAAGACAGAACTGAGCAGAAATCAAACGATGGAGAATGTGTAGCGAGTCACTGCACCATGCCAAGCAGCTGTCGGAGCAGATCGACGGGCACCTCCACCTCGTTTTCACCAGCTCCCATGAACAGAGGAGATACTGAGAAACTGGAGCTGACTGTGGAGAAATAGTAGTCGGGGTCTACCGTGCTGCTGTCTGGAAGATAAGCACCTGCGGAAGACGAAACCAGAAAACAAAGAAGTGCAGTAAGTTAAAAATAAAACTTTTATTCTTGTCTGAATTTGTAATGTTGCACATCTATTAAATAGTAGGGCTGTGTATTGGCAAGAATTTGGTGATACGATACATATCATGACAGAGAGGTCACGATACGATATATCCCGATATATTGCGAAACTGTAAGCAAGGCGATATATTGCGAATTTTTTTGTCCAAAAATTCTATTAAACAAAAACCTCTTACTGGAAATAAAATTGAAAAACCAAAATTCATTGTCTCAGAAAATTCTAATGTTACATAGACATACTTTTGATACATTTAGTTGTGTTATGCTTTGTATGTATTTGATTTTATTTATTTCATATTTCATCCATTTTTTCAATTATTAGACTAAATTTGCCAATAAATAGTTTGAAAATATATTTTTTGCAGCTTTTAGTTTTTAATTTTAATTTACAATATGGTCACCCAACACTTAACAATAGCCTCTACCTCAAGAGGTAGAGTAGCTGGCTCTCTGCTGCCAACTAGTGGTCAGAGGCTGAACTACAACATAAAAATGAACACCTGGCAAGAAAGTTGACATTTTAAACCTTAATAAAAAAATCGATACAGGGCTTTAGAATATCGATACAGTATCGGGAAATGAAATATTRCGATATTTCAGTGTATCTATATTTTCTTACACCCCTATTAAATAGGGATGATTATCATTTAGTCTGCTGCTTTTTACAACTTCTTGCTAACATGAATGTATGTATGTTGGTTCACATGTCCTAGAATTGAAAGAAGTGTGTGTTTCTTGACTTTTACCTTCAAAGTAATGCGGACCCGGTGTTGTGGGAGAGCAGGGCGAGTGGCCTGCTGGATCTGTGGAGACCTACGACACGGCGCATTATAGAACTGTGATTTTTTTATTTTAGAGCATAACAAAACATTTCCAGAGCCAGCTCTGTCACAACACCGACCTGCGAAGGGGTGTCCAGGTGGGCCGGGGTGCGCCTGCGCAGCGTGTCGCTCTGGCACACGGTGAGCAGCGAGGACGGCAGGATGGAACGGAAGTCGTTGAAGGATCGGCGTCGAACYCCCTCGTTTTCCTCCGCCATGCAGCGGGACTGAGGCAAATCCTTGGGGAACAGCTTGGACAGCAGGGCTTCCTCCGTGTTGCTGTAGCGGCCAAACGCTCGAGTCATGCCGAGCAGACTGGGGACAACGTACCTGCACAGGAAGACTGTGGACAAAAGAGCAGCGCTGAAGCCCATTTTATTTCAATACTTGGAGAAGTGATGGCATATACTGTATGTTTTATATTTGTGAATATACGTTTGTCATGATTATCAGGTGTTTGACAAATCTCTTGTAATGTTTGCGTAACCTCCAGTATGGTGTTCAAAATCTGTAGACAAAGCAACACAAAGAATAACTTAGTAACTTCCTAAAATTCACCCAAACTGAAAAAAAAACAATCACTGCTTTCTCAGCTGACCTCTAGTCGAGAGCCTGGATCTCTCTGAGCCACATCAGACAAAAGTGTTACAAGACAGAAGCTGAAGTTTTCTGCAACTGGAAGAAATTCTGTGGAGCAGAAAAAAAGCACAATGACAYGAAACTCAATGGCCTTTTGTCCTATCATAACCCACACTGTTAAAAGGTGTATAAAATGTGTATAAAGCTGACTCCATGTTTAAAAAAAGGCTACTGAAGTTTCCGATGTAAGAGGATTTCTCCTACCTTTTCCTTTCTTACCCAACCCTTCTTCAATCCACTGAACCCGTGGCAGCCCTCTCAGAAGGCTCAGCAAGTAGGGAACAAGTGTGTCTTTGTGCTGCAAGAGTAAAGCGCATTATTACACAAATACACGTCGAGTCTGACAAGCTCGGAAAACTCAAAACTTCAAGGCTTAAATTATTTGAACAGTCAATAAAGGATCTGTGACAAAGACATTAATGCAGGACAATTACTTCACTATCAAAGGACGGAGAAGATTTCCACTCTGTGTCTCAGTGCGMTGACTTTAGAAGCCTAACCAAATGTCTAATCATCATCTTTATCAGATTAAGAGAATGAGTTTATTATAATGATTTAAATTAATGAATCTGTGAGAGTCTGGGAGCAAAATGTGGTCTAATAGTAGCAATATAGAATTATCTAATTACAGTTCTATGGCAGTAGAAAGTAGTTTTGTAATATTGGACCTGCTTTATGTTTGTTTCACTGAAATAAGTACCGGTAACACATCATTTCAGAGCTTAAACATTCTTCTCTCATGGTGACTCACTCACTTTGCTCTTGTCTTTATGAATAAATGTTTGCCAGTACTTTCATACCTTGAAAGGTGAAAGCAGACCTGTAGCATCAGGTCATACTGGGTTAAGTAGAGGGAAAGCATGAAATGACCTAAAAACCATGGTGGTCACATGACTCAACACCCACCTGCAAGCCAGACTCTACCAGAAACACAGCGAGAGCGATAACTGCATCTCTGCGACGCACATCTAAAGTGAACACACCACGGACTTCCACTGGACACATGCATTGTAGCTTCTGGACCTAAAAAAAAAACACAAACAGATAAATATAAAAGCAATAATGACAGAAATGCACACTGCAGGATTTAAAACAGTGCAAATGATTAGCTTGTTTCAACTTGTAGTAAATTGTTTAAGCTTTATCTGGTGCAGGGAGTAGCTTCCCATTTCCTTAACAAACATATTAGACGACACATACTGTGGTTGTGGTTTGTTTCAGAAGGCTCACACTATTAGTCTGCATCAAGCGAACAAAACAACAAATGAAACCTAAACAGAGTTAAGTCCCGTCCAGCACATAGCTGCGTCAACCACTGCATGTTGATGTTGATGTATTGGGGATGAATACTTGTTTAGGTTTAGGAACGCCACCAGTGAGGCTATTTTTTTAAAAAAAAACTTAAATCTATTAGAGAGGATTGAACAATCTTTTCAGAGTGATGGGTACATCAGGATAAGAAGAGTGACAGATAAAATGATGCACTTGTTAACGCCTGGAGACAGCATCACGATCAGCTGGCCACGTCTAGTCCAGTTTCATCAATGCTCCACAGTGATAAAAACAAAAAGAGGTCAGCTGGCAATCTAAAAATAACTACATGGTTTGTCCATCAATGGATTTTGTTTTCCTTCACAAAATGGGATGATTTAGAATAAAATAACTGTGAAAGAGTAGTTCTTGTTAACATGCTTCGATGTGAACCTGTTATATTAAAAGCTCAGATAGGAAGGCGTTTTCAGTACCTGAATAGTCCAAAATGCAACATTTTCCAAAAAAACATTGAAATTACACTCTCATCTGTTCCTACCTACGTACATTACAACATATCAGTCTGTAAAAGTTATCAAATTTAAGATGTTAGACAATCAACCCAGAAACACACAGCAGAAGTGGGAATCATATCACTAAAACAACATATTTAATGGCAGTGCAGTGTTATGATTAGCTGGTTCACTGTGTTTTYATTTCTACTTATTCTAGCTCATTATTCCCTCCCTCCCTATTAAGACTTTAATCCTCCAGATTCCTGTTGAAACAGGTCAGTAAAGTGTACAACCAACCTGAAAACACAATGAAGTGTACTCTACCAGCATTAAACCTGTCAGACTGCAGCCTGCCTGTGTGATGCAGTGGCAAACGTTAGCCCCCCCCCCCCCCCCCCCCCCCCCCCCCCAAACTTGCTTTACATAATAAACACGGGTAGTAAACACCCATCCCCCGAATCCGTACATCTAGCACTGACAACACAAAACAAACCGTCAAACATTAGCTTTCTCGGGCTCGGGCCATGACAATAAGACAACGCCTGTGTGCGGAAGCAAAGCAGCACTGATCCGAACGTTGCTACCAACTTGGCTAAATTAATCGGGTCTGTTTCGATACTCACTTTCTCTGCCGGGGCAGGACGGTGGGCAGCTAGCGAGCGGGCCAGCGACAGAACCGTGTTGAAATAAAATCCTCTCGTACTGCCTTCCATTACAGAATGTTTATTATTTCCACATCAAGCCCGCGGAATGAAGTCAAGAAGCTGCCGAGCAGCGGTAGCTAGTGCTGGGAGAAGCGGCAGCACTGACGACAACTCGATGCGGACAGTCTCAGCTATGAATATTGACATGCCTTATTACACTATGAAAAAGTGTTTTTTTATTATTATTTATTACAAACAACAATAAAGTCAAAGTAAAATAAGAAGATCCTCAGTGCTGCGTGTTTAAACCTTTATACATTTATCCGCATGCGTTTTTGTTGCGCACTGCCCAGGATTAGCCGTCGGGAGATCACGAAGAAACGTCGCTGTACGTCAAAGAAACGTGATGGAGAACGACGTCAAGGAGAACAGCCTTGCTTGAAATCGCTCATTACACTACACAATAGTGACTTTCAATCTTATTTACAAACGAAACTAAAGTAAAAGGGAAATGAGAAAATCCTAATTGTTTTTGAACGCTTTTATATTTTTATGCGTTTTTATTGCGCAGGATTGGTTGTTGACGGAGCATGCGACAAGGTTGTCTTACGTCACAGGGAGAGATAACACGTGTTGCCTGATATGTGATAACTATCGTTTTATATAAAAGTTTCGGGGTCTTTTACAACACCCAAAACGTACGACATTTTGGGTATTTCCGTACGCTAATAGCAATTTTTTATTTACATGAACACATTACATCAACATAAAAAACCCACATTGGGCTATAGAGCACTCAGCACATAACGATACGTTTGGGTCGAATAATACGATGTTCACGACTTTCTATCTGGCAACCCTGGACTTCAACAGTCAGCTGATGCGACAGAGAAGGAACAAGGAGGAACARGTCTGAAGCAACGACGGTTAAAACGAGGTTTGTGAACTTCGTGTTATTATAATTTTATGATGTCGTTTTAGAAACACTCTATTGGTTCAAAATCAAAAAGTTTATGTTCGTAGTGAGTAGCTGTTTTCGTTTTCAGGCGTGGTCATYTGATTAGTCGGCTAGTTGTAGCAGAGTCTTCTAGCAATCCACTGAAGTGAAACTGTCGCCACAATCGACACACAACACAACAAAAATATTAACATTAGTTTGTTTTTATTATTATACTATGCGTATTAAACTCTTAGCCTCTGTCCATCCCTTWAAAAAGTTGTTTTCTAAAAAGGTAGACGCATGTTAAGCCAGGCTAATAGTTTTGAATAGAGTACATTAGTCAAATCAACATAACAAAGCCATTATATTGTTGCAAAGTTTTTAATTAGTACTTGTAAAATCATATACTCTGCAACAATTATTGAGCAAACCAGTAAACTGGTTATGAAGATTTAAACTGTTTTGTCTATTTGTCCAATTGTTTTATTTTGTTTGTTACATGATTTACTTTCATTTATGTCATAATCCTCATGCACTGATTTAATACTAAAGGTGAAAGCTCATTATTGACTTTAGACGGTCTCKTGAACTTATTTAAAGCTTTAGATAAGATTATTTTTGTCAAAACACTGTGTGTTTACCCCACAGATGGCCTACCCTAATTCCCACAACCCATTCGCAGAGGATGACGACGACGAGGATTTTAAACCTAAAAGTCGAGGATTCGGTGACGACCCCGACAGTGGGCTGACTGAGGCGGAGAGGAAACAGAGGCATCTTCAACAGGAAGTGATGCGTTCAGCTCAGTCTGCTGTGGACAGCAGTTATCGTTCCCTCGGCCTCATTTATGAGTCAGAGAAGATAGGTGTGGAAACTGCAGAGGTATGTTTGTCCATCTGTCATCCATCATTAACCCATTCTTATATTGATTCATCCATCCAACCATRTAACTGTCCATCCAGCCATCACCTGTTCTTCTATTCAACCATCCACCCGTCTTTCGTTCTTTCTTGCCTACTCACAACTTATGAAATGAACAAATGTGTGTTGGTCTGTGTAGGAGCTGGTGCGACAGGGTGAAGCTTTGAGGAGGACCGACAGGATGCTAGACAACATGGATCAGGACCTGAAAACCAGCCAGAAGCACATCARCACTATTAAGAGTGTGTGGGGAGGATTTGTCAACTACTTCAAAAGCAAACCAGAAGAAAAACCTGCTCCTGAGGAGCCAAAGGCCTACCAGGCCAGTGAACGGTTGGTTTCAATTCTTCACTCTTTGAATCGATGGTGTGTTGGTTTCTGCTTTCTATTTCAACACAGTTTAATAGTAGTTTAATTTGCTTTTTTGATAGAAGTTTAATTACTAAATATTTTTTTCTGTTTTTACCAATATTATAAAACCCTGTGTCAGATTACAGACAGCCTTGTCAAGCAGCAGACAACACGAAGACAAGTATCAAGCCAGCCATCCCAACCTCAGAAGGTTGGAGACAGGAGGTCAGATAGGTCACAAAGATCTCAGCAGCATTTTTTTAATTAATCAACGAAGCAGCTGCCTTCATTTCTGACTCCTRTGTCGCAGGTTTTGGAGCTGCTGCATCGATAGATGATCCCTCATCTGGACAGAATGGATACTCAAAGAACAGATACCTCAAGGAGGCTCACCAGACTCTTGACAAAAACTTGGGTAAAAAATAAAACTCATACTGTCTTGTAATCAAACGGGACCATTTTTAACAGTTTTATATAAAGCAGTTGCCCTACTCATGACGAATCAGCATGATTTAATTATTTAACCATAAAACACAACTGTTGTGTCACACTACTTCAAACGTGAACATGATGGTTGTGTGTRTGAGAGGAAATTCCTGTAAGCTTTGCCAATCTCCTAATCCTAAGATTGATGTTTTCYGTGAAATATTTAGATGGCATGATCGATGGTTTGAGTAGACTGAAGAGCCTCGGACTCGGTCTTCAGTCTGAAATCGATGATCAGGACGACTCCATTGACTCTCTGCTGAACAAAGTGGACAAGATGGATGGGAAGATCACCAACACAAACCAGCAACTTAAAAAACTGAAATAGGACTCCTGCTCACAGCTGACCCGTCATCCTGGCCTTTGTTTGGGGAAAAAAAAGTMATTTTGTTTTGTAATTTTTTTCAAAAAAAAAATTAGTTTTTCTTTTCGGACAAGATGGATTTTGCTTCCTTTGTACACTTTGTCTTTGTCGACTTGTTTTCTCTGTCATGCGTAAATGCATTTCTGTTTAAAGGTTTTTTTAAGTATTATTTTTCTGTAATTGGCAACAAGTTAGTTTATATTTCAAACTTCTAAAAATGAACGCTAGAATTTTAAATATTGAGGAGAAAGTTTCATTTTTGTTTTATATGTTCACCAGCTTTATGTTATTGATATTTAATCCCAAGTCATCTACAAATGTTTAAAACCTCAAACAAGCCACTTTTGTCTTAAATGTAGTTATTATTCTCTGAATCTGTCTTAACTGGTGCATCTCACTGTGACATGGTTCACTTTATGTACCAAGTTTTTTTTTTTTAAGTCTGTGTTTCATTGCTGCAAATTTTGTTTAGTTCTTGTACAGCATTAATGAAAAAAACATGTTTATAAAAATCCACAATGAAAGAAATAAACCTTATATTGAAGAGCCACTGTGGGTGGCTTTTAGAAAAACTATCACAGTGTCGTCTTTKTTCTTTGATAATTTTGCCTTGATTATTACGCACTGAAATAAGTTTGCAATAAAAAAATAGGGAACTCAGGCATTTCACTAAAAATTAGTTTAAAAAAGCAGTAAGTCGACACAACCATAAGGTGGTGCTACATTACAACAGCAGCTAGAGACATTCATTATGAGGTATCTKGATCACACACTTTATTAGAATCAATCAAACTTTATGAGCTGCTCTAGCTGGGCTCTACCAAACCTTCCAACTTAATGTGTAGTTTGTGTTACATGTTTGACAAAGTCGGTGTTTTATCACCAGAGGTGGACAGTAACCACATTTATTTGAGTGTCTTTTTAAAAGCATACTTTGGGGAGTACTTTTACTACACTGTACTTTAACTTCCCTGTAGTAAAATGATGTAGTAGCTATTGCTACTCTCCTGAGTAAAATTTCTGAATACTCTACCCATCATAAGTAACGTCACTGTATAAAGTATGAATCCACCTAATGAAACATGTTTTAACCAGAGATGAACCTGGTGAGAATATGGTGCGTGTCTGTGTGTGTGTGTGTGTGTGTGTGTGTGTGTG